ACGGCCACTCCATTACAAACTTAACTAAACAGTAAACCACAAATATGTATCAAATATTCCCAACCTTAAATAAAAACCAAATAAAAATCACACAATCTTCTCTCTACGCAGTAACAGATCCATCCTTGATTACAAAACAGTAAAAAAATAATAATTCTCAAGCTATTTAATCTTCAGTAAAATAGTTTCATTAATTCGTTTATGGGAGATTTTTTTTGTGTACCCGAGACAAAAGCTCAGATATTATGAACTAATTAAAAAAGGAAATTTATAATAATGATATATACAACGTGGTCCACCAGCCATGCAATTGTAAAGTTTTTGTTCAATATAGAGGAAGATAAAAGACTTTAAATTGAATATTGATAATAATAATAGAAATAATGCTAATAATAACACTCCTACTACTAATCATTGAAGCGTTGGTAACTATACTTCATATACTAAAGAAAAATGCATAATTACATTGTTTGTGTTGAAGAGAAGGAGGTGGGAGAGAGAAAGAGAGATGATGATCAGGGGAAGAAAAGGAGGGAGGAATGGAAGCATCTAGGGGAAATAAATTAAAGATCAAGAGGAGGTAGGGAAGGAATGGAGGACGGAGAGAAGGAAGAAATGAAGGTAGGGAGAGAGAGAGAGAAATTATGGATGGAAAAAGGGAAGATGGGTGGAAAAAGACCAGGTATGGAAAGAAGGATGGAGATAGGGAAGGAAAGATGAAAAGGGAGAGGGATGAATGGAGGGAAGAAGAGAGGGTCAACAGCTGCAGGTTCATTCTCCACTAGTAATGAGAGGTGATAGGAACCTTCCAGCTCACTACATTAATACCTCACCATCTGTAAGTCTCCCCTGAGCTACTTGGTGTGCGTGTGGGTGTGTGGGGGGTGTGTGTGTGGGGTGTGTGTGTGTGTGTGTGTGTGTGTGTGTGTGTGTGTGCGTGGGGTGTGTGTGTGTGTGCGTGGGGTGTGTGTGTGTGTGTGTTTCTACTTATAATCACAACCCAGCAACACATATGAACACACACAACACGCCAATAATCTCACTAAGGGATAAAACATAAGGTGCTTTAAATACAATACAAAAACACTCAACATCTGGAACTCGGAGAAGAATATTAACAGGAAGGCAGGAGCGTCCGAGCGAATATATATATGTTTACCATGAAATAAATCCCTAACCTGCTTTAGCTAAGAGAAAACGGGTCTTATGTTGCCTCTGGATATACAATGTAATGCATAAACTCGCTCTATCAAGTACGTTAAATTAGTTATTCTATTCACGACAGCTGGACCATATAAAGAGTTCAACCTTAAGTAAATTTCCAGCTTTCTTTATGTAGATGAAAACATATTTTGCATTTTTTTTTTGGAAGATTGCAAAATATTCACTGTTGAGAGAGAGAGAGAGAGAGAGAGAGAGAGGTGTGAGTTGACATCCAGAGAGAGAAAAAGAGAGACAGAGAGACGTAATTGTTATCTCAAAAAGGCACCTAGAGTTAGCCACCAGATACAAGCTGTACGTGAAGAAAAAAAAAACTTCCTCACACACAAAAAGTATCACCAGGTAAGTCAAGGAAGGCGAATTAATGGGCTGTCAGAACGGCAACTAAAAATGGGAACGAGGAAAGAAAAATAATGAAATAAAAAAAAGAAAGGAAGAAGTTAAGAAATGGCGAGGAGGAGGAGGATGGTGAGTCGAAGGAAGAGGAAGGAGGATGAGGAAAATAAGAAAATGGCGATGAGAGAAATAAACAAGCTATTGTGATGAAGAAGGTGAGAAGGAGAGGTGAAGACATGGTGGAGAAGAAGAAGAAGAATGAGCAGCGGAAACAGAGAGGAAGACGAAGAAGGAAGAAGAGGAAAGGAAATGAGTAGAAGAAGAATGTGCAAAAGTAAAATGAAGAAAGAGTCCACAGAGAACTCAAAGAAACGATGAGACGACGAAGAAAGAGAACAAGAGGAGGAGGGGGTGAGGACTACCTACCTGGCAGCTTGGCTTCGCCCGCCCACCGCCGTGATGGAAGGATCATGGGCGGGGCCTCAACACCCACTGATTACTTCACCTCAAAGTGGGTGGTGCGACGCTTCTGGGTGGGCGAGTGGGCGGCCCTGATGGGTGGGTGGATGGACAGGTGATGTGATACTCCTGGGTGGGCAGGTGGGCGGTCCTGGTAGGTGGGTGGGTGGATGGGTAGGTGATGTGGTACTCCTGGGTGGGTAGGTGAGTGGTCCTGCTGGGTGAATGAGCTAAGGTTGGTCGAGTCGCTTGACAAGAAGAATAAAAAAAATAATAATATAATTTCAAGAAGACATCCAGTAGAGGTAGAGTCTCGGTCCACACCCAACTCCATCTTGGCCGCCATCTCCTCGTCTCGGGTCATGAGAGAGAGGCCAATACACAGGTGAAGGCAACGGGTATCCGGAGAGACTGTCAACAATAAGAGCGAGGAAGTGTAAGGTAGACGGCTGATGTGCTGTACTGTACACCCCAGGTCAACATCATCAGTAAGAGCAGCAGCAGCAGGAAGAAAGCAGTCGCAGCAGGAGGAAGAGAAGCAGCAGCAGCAGCAGGAGGAAGAGAAGCAGCAGCAGCAGCAGGAGGAACAACAAGACCTGTGAGGTGGAAGCAGCAGCAGGAGTCGTGGGGGTCGTGACAGCAGAAACAGGAGCGGGAGGAGCGGCGGCGTGTTGGAGCTGGGTGGGCGTGGGTGGGTGAACGGGTGGCGTGGTGGGTGGTAGAGCAGGTGTGGGCGGGAGAAGGAACGAGAGGATGGTGGTGGGGGGGGGGTGGAACAGGTGTGGGTGCGAGGAAGGGGGGCGTAGTGGGTGGTGTGTGTGTGGGCGGCCTCACCACCCTGACCCCGCCCCTCACCTCCTCTCCCATGCCTCACAGTAATTACCGGTCTCTTTTGTCTTAATATTTTAATTACACGGTGAAAGTTGTGTCCTTTAGGTGCTTCAGGTGGTGGTGCTTCACCTGTGTCCCTATTGGAGGAGTGCTTCAGATGGTGGTGCTTCACCTGTGTCTCTACTGGAGGAATACTTCAGGTGGTGGTGCTTCACCTGTGTCTCTACTGGAGGAGTGCTTCAGGTGGTGGTGCTTCACCTGTGTCTCTATTGGAGGAATACTTCAGGTGGTGGTGCTTCACCTGTGTCTCTACTGGAGGAGTGCTTCAGGTGGTGGTGCTTCACCTGTGTCCCTATTGGAGGAGTGCTTCAGGTGGTGGTGCTTCACCTGTGTCTCTACTGGAGGAGTGCTTCAGGTGGTGGTGCTTCACCTGTGTCCCTATTGGAGGACTGCTTCAGGTGGTGGTGCTTCACCTGTCTCTCCACAGGAAGGCTTCAGGTGGTGGTGCTTCACCTGTGCCTCTACTGAAGGAGTTCTACAGCAACAGGCCAGGTCGATGAGGAATGTTTTGTATTGTACTGTACAGTATTTTCTGAAGCCAAACGGAGGTGAACCCGGACCCGACCCAAATCTTTAAACTGAAACGTTAGTTAGATTAAAGTGACGGGGACCGTTAGACTATAACTGTTAGGGGATTATTAGGATAGTTAAGTTAAGGTTAGATCAGGTTAGGTTAGGTGAGAATGAAATAAGGTGGGGTGCCTAATTTTCAGGTGATGAACAAATTCTTTTGATATTGTTCAGAAAACCTGTTTACGGCACATATTAGAGTAACACTGTAAATTAATAATTATCCCTGAAGAAGATGAAGACTGGTAGTGCAGTAATGAATATGTCTACACCAGCCTCCAGGGCCTAGTAGTCCCTCGCCACCACCACCACTACCACTACCCCGCTTCATCCACCCCCAACCCGCCACCATTACCGCGCCTCCATCCAACCCCCACCACAAAACCCGCCACCAACTACCACCCCCACCACCACTCCACCCGCCACCACCATTACCCTACCACCACCATCCACCTTCACCACCACTCACCAATACCCTGACATCACCCCCACCCCGCTACCACCACCCCCAACCACTCCACCACCACCAGCCGTCACGCGAATAAGTAATTCCCGGCAGTAAGGACCCCTGCACTTTCGGGTTGACTGTTAAGTGGGTGAAGAACACGTCGGGGAGCACGCGAGGCGGGGCCCTACGGTAGCTGCTCTGACTACCTACCAAACACACTAATGTCTACTTCTCTACCAACTAACACACTATGTCCACCTAACACACTTACCAACACAGGTCTTTTCACTCCATTAAACCACCACCATTATCCTCACAAGCTGTCGATGGAGCACGGAGGTGGAAAGTAAACAGCGGACGTAACAAACTAATCATTGTGTCGTCGCTTTTGTAATCAACTAAACACCTTGGCCTAGTGATCCCTTGAATTTATCTACCCCCCCCCGCCCCTCCCCCGAGAATGGAGTGCTGAGTCTTTTTTATATACCTCCATACGCCTCACTCACCTCAAGATGATAATGGGTACCGGTTTATCCCCGAGATGTACACTGCACAACCTGACCCCCACCGGGCTCTCTATATACATTCTAGGACATAAAGACAAAGTCACTCTAGACTTCTGAAACACCAACGGGGAGATGACCGCCCTTCTTTCACCTGTTTAGATTCTGGATTTTTTATTACCTGTCTCGCCACTATTACGGTTGGATATGGTGTTATATGGTCATTTTATTGAAGTTTTCTCTATCAATGGTCTTAATGATCACCAATGACCTATACCTGTGTAAGACTATAAAACTCCGTAACCTAAATCAACACACCTGACCATCACCGCCATACCTGTGTGATATCAATCGACTTTCCCTACCACACACACACACACACCACACCCTATACCCTCAACCCTCCCTACCACACCCTATACCACCACCCCTCCCTACCACACCCTATACCACCACCCCTCCCTACCACACCCTATACCACCACCCCTCCCTACCACACACCTCACCCAACAAGTTACCGTGCCTAAGACAGTAGTATGAACTAGCCTCACCCTCACCTCTCCTTCCTACAGCACGTGAAGGACAACATGAGGAAGGAGTGCAAATGTCACGGTATGTCTGGCTCCTGCACCGTCAAGACCTGCTGGTGGAGGCTGCCTTACTTCAGGAGGGTGGGCGACGCACTCAAGGTGAGGAGGGGGGGAGCATGCTACTTGGGATATATAGACAGATAGACAGAGACAGACAGACAGATAGACAGACAGATAAAGAAGTATGTACAGAGTTGGTATGAGGCGACAGATTCTTCTTCTCCCCTAACAGATAACTGCGGCACTTTACTGCACCCTTAAGACCACACGTCACCGTTCTAGTTAATAACACCTATAACTGTTCTGACCTATAAACTGACTATAGAGTTACCACGTAGGGTGATTTAGATTGTTGACCTATTCTTCCTCAGGTCAATTAAACATGGCGGAATTAGTAGGTAGAGACTTTACCACATATTCACTGTCAAATTTTCTTAATTTTTTTTTTTATTCGTGATAGTTCAATTAATTAAGTTCTCCCGACCATAAAAATGAGTTATTTTAATCAAAGTCATAAAACATTATCTAATGAATAAATTATGTAATATCTGATTATTGTTATTATTATTATCACCACCACTAACATTAAAAAAATATTCACCCCCACTCAATATTATTTAGCTTTTAATTATGTTCAATTATTTCTCGTCTAAGTTAATCTCACCAACTATTTTCTTTAGGTTAATATTAGTTATTATGAAGTCTTAACTCCTCACTAGGGTATTTCTCCTGAATCTTAATATCCACAATAATTTATCCTTCTTTCCTTATTATTTTCCTCCATATTTATACACCACAAAGTTATTTCTGTTTAGTCATGTTAAGATTTAAACCACGACAACACAGATGATGTTTATGTATTTATTTCTTACTAATTAACAACCCTTTAGTTATAACAAGCACCTTATCTACAACCCTTACCCCACACTCACCCCCTCCCTCCCTCCCTCACCACTAACACCCCTCCCTCCCTCACCACCTAACACCTCACCACTAACACCTCCCTCCCTCCCACCCTCCACTCCTAACCCCTCTCCCTCCCTCCTCCCTCCACACTCTCCACTCCCTAACCTCTCTCCCTCCCTCCCTCCCTCCCACACTCTCCACTCACTAACCCCTCTCCCTCCCTCCCAGGATCGGTTCGACGGGGCTTCTCGGGTGCTGGTGAAGAACCTCGGTAACCCCCGCACGCCCAACGACCGCCGCCCTAACCGACGGAGGAAGAGCAAGAAGAGGAAGAGAAAGTCCTTCAGGCTCTTCAAACCCTTTAACCCCGACCACAAGCCGCCCTCCAAGAAGGATCTCGTCTACCTGGAGGAGTCGCCGGACTTCTGCCTCCGAAACCGTCAGCTGGGTAAGTGAGAGAGAGAGAGAGAGTAAAAGACTTTAAGACAATGCTAACATATTCCACAAATAAGCCAGCAATAAAAACAAATGTGTAGTTTGCATGGCGGTAGACACAAAAGATTCCACCTCACATTTATATTCCTGCCGCCTCTACGTTCAACAAACATTACAAATGCGTCATAACTAGCTACTTGAAAACCTTTTGCAGATAAAACCCTTTGTTGTGTAAACGTCCATTAACACGGTCGCCAGATCAAATCCACCATACTAACCCGTCTTTCCCTCCTGCTGCAGGTATCATCGGGACACAAGGCAGAGAGTGCAACAAGACGAGCATCGGTGTGGACGGGTGCGACCTCATGTGCTGCGGGAGGGAGTACCACTCCCAGGTGGTGGAGGTGGAGGAAAGGTGTTCCTGTACCTTCCAGTGGTGCTGCGTCGTCAAGTGCAAGACCTGCAAATATATGAAGACCATACACACCTGTTCCTAGTGGCCTCCACGCACCAGGTCCTCAAGAGAGACGTAGTTGCTCTTCCCTGCTTTGAGAGCAGGATGGTGCCGTGCATTTGTGCAGTTGCGAACGTGTTAGCAAAAATGACTCACCATGCAGGTTCCCGTCAGGGACATTCAGATATCACTGGGACAACACCCTTACTTGTCTATCTCTAAGTGAATCTTATCGCTGAGGTGTAGATACTGTGCACGAACCCTCAACTGTGCTCCTGAGGCAGTGGCGTGAACACACTTGCTAGTGAGGCATTGTAAATACGAGTTTTGCTGCAGCCTTTACCGCCAACTGTAAATACGACGGAGAGTGAATACGACGGGCCAAAAACGAATGTAAATAAACCGATCATCAGTTTCCTGTAAATAGAAGAAAATTTCTCTCATCTTACAAGGCATGTAAATAGTACGACAACACACCATGTTTGGATAATGAAGTGTCAAGGTGCATGATCATCTTGAACTCGGAAACTGTGTTATAAATAATCAAATCTATGAGAAAAAGAACATAATGAAAGTGACGTGAAAATATGACAAGAAAATTAATCAATCTTCAGAATAAACTCCTGAGGTAATTATTTACCTTTAATTCCAAATAATAATGTTGTAAGAGGCTTGAATACAAAGTTACAACATCAGTCTCATAACACACCATAGATACTGTCACAAGTGTCATTTTAATAACACTGACTTTAGGAAGAAAGCCACTTCTCTCCTCCCACTCCACGTCACACTGGATAAACGTGTTTGTGTATGAAAATGCATATTTGACTCCAGTGTTAAGAGCAAGTGCAGTAAGTAAAGCCTTATCACCAGAATAACCTGATTTGTTTTACCATGATGCTGTGTTCGTCAGACCTAAGGTAAACGGATATTAAAACAGGATCTTTAAACTAAGAGAACCTGAAGATAGGAACCTTTCACATGAGGATCCCCAGAGGGAGGAGTCTGAAGACCGATGACTTAGGCTGAGAAGTCATGATACCAAAGGACAAGGAAGTGACCAACCACACACACCAAAGGACCAGGAAGTGACCAACCACACACACCAAAGGACCAGGAAGTGACCAACCACACACACCAAAGGACCAGGAAGTGACCAACCACCAAAGGACCAGGAAGTGACCAACCACACACACCAAAGGACCAGGAAGTGACCAACCACACACACCAAAGGACCAGGAAGTGACCAACCACCAAAGGACCAGGAAGTGACCAACCACACACACCAAAGGACCAACAATCCCCCAAACCTAAACACTGAGAGACTGTGAGCGTGATTGATGGACTAAATGGAATCAGTGAAAACAAAGAAGTGACTGATGCCTCATGTTGCTCTCGTGTGTTCTAACTGTCTACAACCTGTCCTGTGAGGGAGGACACGTGACCTTAAATGACTGAACTCGATGAAAACAAAGAACTAAACTCTTAAACCAAGGGACATGATAATAAGTGTAATGGACAAACTCTTGTTTTATGTCTCGTTCCTCTGTAGTACTGTTGTCATCTTTGGAAAACAAGGCATTGAACTGATGGTAGAGAACATTTTCATCGAGTTTGATATTTTGTTATTGAGACTGAATTAGTGTTGGTCTGATCGCAGGATGATATACTGTACAGACTAATTTACATTCAGCAAAAACTTGATGAAAAAACAATTCACAGAAAAAAAGTGAAGAGAAATTATGTTACTGAACATACATGAAAAGTAATTGACAATTGTGGTCTTGTTTAGATGATCAAGTTAGTTCATGTCATTACACAGATAAATATTTCTGGATGAAAATTGAATTGACAACTCCGTGGATACAAAAAATAACAATATTTTTGGTGATACTTCGATTGGACACTATGGGAGTATTACTGGTGCTTCATACAACACTGAGCTTGTGTATGGAGACTGTGCGCCAAGACGTACCGGTAACAATTTGTGGTGCCAAGCGAAGAGTGTGTTGAGTGGACGGTTGTTAGGCCACCACCACCCAGAAGTTGGCGCATCAATCACTACCCGTGTTATTAAAAGATTACTTGTATTATTTCATACCCTCAGTAAGACTCTCTCCACACACACACACAAATAAACTGACATTTATCTATTGAACTCACATTTCATTACATAAACGTCATGTCTGTAAATGCAACTGATCAAGCACACTTCATAACACACGGGGAGAGTGTCAGGCGGGGCGTGAACCAACCAAAGTAATGTTTAATAATGACAGGGTGGCTGGTGCTCCCCCGACGCCCTACAGCTGACTCTACCCTCCGCTGTAGGGACCAACTGGCAAGATGACCTATGTTGAGAAAATCATCACGAACATGACAGTAAAACTAACTTGTGTCTTAGGATGACACGAACCAGCCAAACCTCAACCTAACTGATGCCACCCTAAGATTGTTATGTTACATTAGGTTAAGTTTGTGTCATCTGTGTTCGAAAAAAAGAATGTTTTAGTGGTCCTGTTCGTTATAGTTTTCGAACATCGTTCATCTTGCGGCCCAACGAGGCTAATCTAGTGTAGCATCAAGGTGGTGAAGTGCCACAAGTGTACAGAAATATGATGATAAATTATGTTAATGTGTACTATGATCGCCCAGTGTTAATTCTTGCAATGCTTTAAGGTAAACAAGCGTGAAAATGATGAACAGTGTCAATTCGTTCACCCAGTGGAAGACTTTAGTTTGTGTGACAAAAATTAAAGAAGAACATGATCAGTTATATATTATTTTCCCCTAGTGTCAGTTCCTACCTACCCAGCTGTGGTGCTTGAAAGCCGATGGATGGCTGATACGACGTGATCAATAAACGCTGACGTTTATAACACTGCCCCCAGTGTGATCATGATCGATGCCTTCGTGTCGGGGAACCATCTCCACAAACTGTGTCCATAAATTAGCACTCACCCAGCCATTAACCGTTCATGTCTCGTGTCAGCTGACGGCGACAGGTCAATTAATCACCTGTGATCACACAAAAATAATTTTCAACAGAGACCTAGTGATTAGTCACACTGAGTGATCGATTGTACACACTTGTCATTTTCTCTTGCTGCAACAGTGACACCAACACTGCCACAACATAAACAAACTGTTGGCAGCACTGTTGACACGTAAACAAACCTCGCCGTCCATGATCGTATATATTTTTTTCACTCCCCCCAAAGTGCTTAGTTTAGCGCCGCTTTATTAAACATTATATAAGTACAGTAAATATTTCCTTCAAACAGTTATAGAGAATGAAGGATAAATACGTAATTGTATATAGATGTTCGTGGAGACTGAACAGATAGTAAAACAAGCTCCTCCTTACACCGTGGAACAACTTTTTGCGCTAATATTTAATAGTTTCCTCATCTTTAAGAGACTGATGGCCTTGGTGTCCTTCAGACTAGTTTGTGCTCTCCTCAACACCTGCCCAACAAATTGTATACTTCACCTTTAACTTATCATTTGCCATACAGATACTCGTAGCACTTTTGTGTGTATAAAGCAACCATACATACGCCCCTCTATATATGCTCCAACTGTGCGTGGGTTTAACACTACATAGGTCAACCCTGTACAGACCATACTGTTCGCTGCTAGTCAACGTTGCCTTATAGATTTGATAACTAGAATATAGAACTTAGCATAGTGGGCGTGGCCAGATGGGGGGGGGGGGGGGGGTGAGGGAGAAGTGGCCAGGTGTGGGGTGAGGGAGAGGAGTGGCCAGGTGTGGGGTGAGGGAGAGGAGGCCGTGGGGTGAGGAGAGAGTGAGGGGAGGAGGGCAGAGGGGTGGGGTGAGGGGAGAGGAGGCCAGGTGGGGTGAGGGAGAGGAGGGCCAGAGGTAGGGGTGAGGGAGAGAAGTGCAGGAGGTAGGGGTGAGGGAGAGAAGGGCCAGAGGTAGGGGTGGGAGAGAAGTGGCCAGATGTGGGGTGGGGGAGAGAAGTGGGATGTGGGAGGAGGGGAGGGTGAGGTGGGGGGGGGAGAGAAGAGTGATGAGGAGGATAGAAGGTGAGGGCCAGAGGAGGAGAGGAGAGGGATGTAGGTGGGGAGGAGAGGAAGGGAGGTGGGCAGAGAGAGGAGGCAGGGGGGGCCAGAGAGGTGGGGTTGAGGGGGTGTGTCCAGAGGTGGGGTTGAGGGGGTGTGTCCAGAGGTGGGGTTGAGGGGTGTGTCCAGAGGTGGGGTTGAGGGAGGGGTGGCGAGGGGGGGAGGGAAGGCGTGGCAAGAGGTGGGGTTGAGGAGGGAGGTGTGGCAAGAGGTGGGGTTGAGGGAGGGGCGTGGCAAGAGGCTGAAAGGGGGCGGCAACTAGAGATGGGGGTTGAGGGAGGGGCGTGGCCAGAGGTGAGGTTGAGGGAGGGGGCGTGGCCAGAGGTGGGATTGAGGGGGGTGTGTCCATAGGTGGGGTTGAGGGAGGATGAGGGAGAGAAGCGTGGTCAGAGATGGGAATTGAGGACGTGGGTAGAGGTTGAGAGTGGGGGCGTGACCAGAGGCAGGGATTAAGGGAGGATAAAGGAAGTGGGCGTGACCAGAGGAGGGTGAGGGGGGCGTGGCCTCTCACTACCCGAGGACCAACACCACCAGTCCCAATGTTCACTGAGGACCTTGTGTGACTGAGTCTATATTCAAGACCAACCTTTGAGATAAACCAGTTTTTTTATTTATGTATTCAGTTATTCAATTATTTTCTTCGTTAGAGTCGTTCCTCAGATGGTATTAAACAATGAGCCTTCAGAACTTAACTCGTTTTCAAAAACTATTTATTATTATTAATATTATTATTGTTGTTCATGCCATGGGTATTTATCATCGTTTTGCTTATTAATGTCGCTACCAATTTACATATTTATTATTATTATTATTATTATTATTATTATTATTATTATTATTCACTCAAGTGGCGAAACTCTGGGGGTAACAGTACTCTCCCCTCCCTCCCCCACCCTCCTTGATTTAGGTTCTTCCTCTAAGTGTGTTGAATAGCTGAGTGCGTCAAAAATATGAGTGTGTTAATCAGAATGAGTGCGTTAATCATGTGAGTGCGTCAAACAGCTGAGCACCCCCCAGTAAAAAGGCAGCCAGATAACGTATCCAATTCATATCATCAGTCACCTCGGCTTCACCACACCCGTAAGAGTCGCTGCGTTACTCCCTATGGCTCATGATCATAATTATTTTGTCACTGCCGTCTAGTACTCGGGCAGTGTTGGCATTTATGAAGGGTTTTATCTTTGTCTCTCTCTCTTTTTTGCTTTTTTGTTTGTTTTATGATCTCTTCCACTTTATCTGTTATTCTTCCTTTCTCTCACTCTCCGTCACATCTTTCCCACATTAACTCTCGTTCTCTTCTCTTCTACCTCTCTCTCGTTTACTTTCTCTAACTCTCTACCGTTCACTTCTTTCTCCGCCTCTTGCTCTCACGCCCTCACTTCACAACCTAGTAAGAGAGACTGGAGGAGGAGGAACCACCTTAGACTCATGTTAAAGGTCAAGGTCACGTCACAGGTTAAACTCTTCTTACCCCCCCACCCCCCCAAGCTGGTCAGGTCACGGTGCCGCGTCGTCACAGCCAAACGTCAACACTATTGCCCGCCCTCCTCTACCTTCCTCGCCTCTCATTGATTAAAAAAAAAAAAATTCTGTCTTTCTGAAATTGGATGTAAGAAAAATCTGTCTCCATCATCTCTCACTTTAAAAATCTGTCTTTATCCCTCGCCATTACAAAAATCTGAATTAAGTGTCATATACTTATTAAAAAAAACATAATTTAGTTGTTGTTTACATACACATTGAGCGGGTGTGTGTGTGCGCGCGCGTCAGGATGTCGCTAATTGTCGCTGTGCGCTGGGGTGTGGTGGGTTAATGTACAAAAATAAACTTCAAAGTTAATTAATTCGTAATAATTTTTCCACAATTCTAATAATGAGGAACACGACACTGATATAATAAAAGAATGAAATAAAATACCAATTCAGACTTTTAGCTGGTGATGTGTGCCAAACTATTCTAACAGTTAAAACATAGTATTTACACTTGTTTATAATAGATAATGAGAACATATTTAAAATGATGCTTTACAATCACCAATTATCTGGGAAACACAAAATACACTTAAGTAATCCTGAATTCTCTACAATACAACCCTGAGTTAGTTAGTTATCTACTGTACGTAAGGCGTGACTGCCGAGC